CCACTGCCTCCCAGCAGGCTGAAACTTTTACTTGTGGTAGATGAAAGCTCTGCTGCCCAGCTGCATTCCCAGTCCCCCCAACCTTTTTTTTTAAATATCAAGCATGAGTAGTTGATATGTAAGTTTTAGTTTTCCATAAGATGCAAGAAAATTAGAATTGAGAAGTAGATTGTAACCCTTCCCCACTTTTTTTTGCTTTTTTGTTTTTTTGAGACAGGGTTTCTCTGTAGCTTTGTGCCTTTCCTGGAACTCACTCTGTAGCCCAGGCTGCCCTCAAACTCACAAAGATCTACCTGCCTCTGCCTCCTGAGTGCTGGGATTAAAGGCGTGGGCCACCACCGCCCTGCCCACTTTTTCCCATAGGCAGTACCTCACTGTTGGCCCAAGCTGGCCTCATGGTTATCCTGCCTTTGCTGCCCAGGTGCTGACATTAGAGGCAAGTGCCACCAAACCTGCCATCACTTTATTTTACAGTGGCAAAAAGGTTTTGTTTTTTGAAACAAGATTTCCCTATGTAACCCAGGCTGGCTTTGACTCCAGATCCTTTAGTTTCCTTTTTGGAGACAGTTTCTCCTTGTAGCCTTGGCTGTCCTGGAACCTCAACTATTGTGAGTTTCCTTGATCCAGAGGCCCACCTGCCTGTGCTTCCCAAGTGCTGGAACTAAAGGCATTCACTACCACCCTCAGGCTTCTGTTACCATTTTCTAAGTGTGGGAAATAATGGCATGTGTTACCACATTCTGCAAAGAAATGCAGTAAAAAAATCTTATTTTGAAATAATTTTAGATTTATAGAAGAGTTGAAAAAAAGGGAGAGGCATGCTAGGTGTGGTGGCTCACACCTTTAATTCTAGTATTGGGAGGCAGAGGCAGGCATATCTTTGAGTCTGAGGACATCCAGGGCTACAGAGAGGAAATCCTGTCTGGAAAAACCAAAGGAAAAAAACAAAGGAACGGTGTGAAGATGATGAGTTAGGACAGCCTGGGCTACATGGTGAAAACTATCTCAAGAAAAGATGGCTCAGTGGGTAATGTTCTTGCTGTGCAAGCCTGGGACCTGAGTTTGAACTTGCAGAACCTTCATAAATAAGGGCACAGTGGATGTGTTAGCAGAGGGAGATAGCTATGTAGTTCGGGTGAGAGAGTGGGAATGGGTGAGCATCTGTAATCTCATGAGTCCTGTGGGTAGATGGGAGGCAGGGACAGAAGTGAAATTGTCAGTTAGCAATAGAATACATTTGAGGTGTTTAGGGGTGATGGTGATGATGACTACAAAGATAAGGAGCCTAGCTGAGTGTAGTGGCTCACACCTTTAATCCCTCACAGTTGAGAGGTAGAAGCAGATAGATCTGAATTTGGCCACCAGAGCTTTGTAGCTGAAGTTTTCTCAAGTCCTGCCCAGCTCCACAGATCTCACAACCACTTATAAAATAATCACTCAGAAGCTTATATTAATTAAACTGCTTGGCCATTAGCTCAGGCCTACCACTGACTAGCTTTTACACTTAAACTCAGCCCATTTCTATTAATC